TTCAAGAGAAATAATGAATATTATATATATATATATATATATATATATATATATATGAATAATTATTCTAAAAGAAAAACACGACCTAAAAAAAAACAATTATCCAAACATGTTTTCACCAAAGGAAGATAACATAGGAATGTTATTAATACATTATGCCTATCAGTGAGTATTTCACTTTTAGTTTCATGCTTTTAGGAATTGTGTTTACTTTATCACAAATTTCTTGATATGTTTTTTTATCTTTCTTAAAACACATTTTAATTCTTTAGTCAATAATTCTACCCATAAGAATAAGTTTTTAAAACTATTTATTCTCTGGTTTTCAAATATACACCTTAGATTTTGGAAACATTTATAAAAAAAAAAAAAGATATAAAACAAGAAATACATTTTATAAACTTAATGTTAACTTTAAAGTTATCACTTTTGAGAGCATTAAAAATTAAAAAAAAAAAAACAAAAAGCCTTTCAATGATTCCACATTCCATAAAAAATGATTGGTCTTTTCACCATTGATGCCCTTGTTCCCCCCATCTCCACAGAGACAGACAAAAAAACCCTTAAATAAAGTAGCTCGAAATTCCCATCATTTTCTTTCTTCTCTCTCTTGTATATAAGAAACAATGGTTACCAAAATTACATTCCACTGCATAATTCACATATCTTTATTTTCTCCAAGCTTTCTCAAAAATATCAAATCACCAAAAAAAGTTCTCTTTTTTTTTTTGGCGTCCGCCATTGTTGCACTAAACAAAAGCTCTCTCACACTCCCAAATGAAGCCTTCATCAATGGCGGTTCTTCTTCTTCTTCTCCTTCTCATCTCCGAGGCTCAAGGTACAAACTTTTTCAACTTTCTCAAGATGGGGTTTGTTTGGTGAGAACAAAAAATTGAACTTTTTCTTCTCTTCTTAAGGGATTCGTTTGGAGAAAGGCGGGTTTAAAACAGCGGTTTCCGCAGCGAGAGATGGAGGAAATGGATTAGAGGCGATGAAGAGATCAAGAGCCCCAAACAAGGGCTCAAGAAAACCATATTCTCATTGGTTACCAGGCATTCAAGAAGATTACCATGGACCAAGAAGCCATAAACCTAGGCACCATTAGCTTCCATATCTTCTTTTTCTTTTCTTCCTTTAGGGCTCGTTTTAGAGATCCAAAGCGTAAATAGAAACCGAACTTTTGATAGTTTAGTCGTCATTATTCGTTTAGTAGAACTGAATTATTGACCGAACTTAAGGGTAACTAACCATTTTAGGAGGATTATTTGATTAGGGACTGGAGCAATTGATTTTATAGTGCATTCTTGATACTGTTTTGTCCATACATCTAATAGTTAAAGAGGACGACGCACATTGAATAGTTTTTTCCCGGTTTAACTTTAACCATCTAGGTTGAATTTGGGTCGGTTGGAAAATTGAGGATGCAATTCTTTTTATTCGATAAATTTTATGAAATAATATTTGAGAAATGTTGACTCTTGAAATGCACAATTGATTATCGTTCAATTATTCGTTTTTCTGGGTTGAGTTATACTTTGCATGCATCTTTTTACTTTTTTATTATTGTGTCATTTTTATCTTTCTACTTCTAATGTTTTTAATTTTATTATTGTATTTTAAATTATTAATAATTATTGTTAATATATGTTAAGAAATTGCTAACCATATTAGTTTCATATCATATTTAACAATGCTGGATTAAGTGTAAGAACTAAAAAGCATTGAAATTAAATTTTATTGTATTCTTTTTCCTTGTTCTAAAGAATATGTTGTTCTTTTTATCAAAATAAAAAAAAAGTAGGGAGAATTGTTAATTAGTAAAAAAGAAAATAAATATTTTAAGATTATGTTGATAGTAGACGATGCTCCCATCAAACAAGACCTATCCATTTCCTATGATTTCAAAGCTTCTGGCCTTTTTTAAATTTTTATTTCTCTTAGAATTTGTTAGTAACTCAGTATTATTTTAATGATATCTTAGGAATTTAAAATTTATTTTTGCCCTTCAAAATAATATTTAATATTTAATATTGATTTTCGTTCATTATTTAACATATATTTTAATTCGTTTAACATATATTTGACATATATTATATTTTAAGATTATGTTGATAATATTCAACTGCTTTCGAATAAAGTGTGATAAACAAATAAAAGATCAATAACATGTGATTTCTTATTTTTAATAATTATTATTAAATATAAATTTAATATCCAAAGACGATGTAAATTTGAGAACTATGAAAGTGTTAGATTTGGTTCTTATATAAAATGGCAACAAAAAAAAACATATATCAAATTTATTTAAATAATTCTGATTTTTTAAATAAATAAATATGATTTTTTTTTTAAGAAAACAATAAATATGATTGTTAATGAAGAAAGTAAAAAGGGACAAGAAGACGGAAAAGCCGCAACATTTTAGGGGTGTTTTTGTCATTCTGTTCAAACTTTTTAGTATGTTCTTTGTGGAATGGTTTTTCCTTTCTTTTCTTTTTTATTTTTCTATTAGTTTTATTTGGCTCTTAATATCTGTGTTGGAAATAATTGTTTTAACGGATTATACATTTTTAAAATGTTTTGGTGGTAGATTATTCCGGCAAGTTGTATTGAGTTTAATCGATGAAGTGTTTGCGAAGAATTAGGAGAATATATGAAATAATTATAAAATGGAATTATGCAGGGAATTTTGTTGAGATTTTTTAGTACAACCATCTATGGAGACCAAAATATATGTCTCAACCAGTTGAATTATATTCATGTTAGCTTTTTAAGGTTTTTCAAACTGCAGATATAATATATATTGACATATTGCACTCTATAATCCTTCTTAGACCTTACAAATTTATAAACTTAATCTGTCATATAATACCTAATATTAATTATTATAACTCACATCAACTTGATACATTGATTTTTATATTACAATGAAGGGCAGAGTATCTTCTATCTAATCTTGTCTAATTTAATAAATTTTTTAATTCTCAACACGCGAGTATAATTTAGTAGTCTCTATTCACGTCCTATGTCAGTGATATAACGTTCTAAAAATAAAATAAAACAAATCTTTTAGACTATGCACATAGATCGAATAAAATAATTCTTTTAGACTTTGCACGTAGATATATAGATGTCTTCCCTCTTTATATTCACACTTCACATTCACAATAGACAAATTGAGATTTTTTTTTTTTTTGAAGAGAAATATCGGCAAGATGATTTAACTATTAGACTAAGCTCATGTTAGCTATCGTAACTTTGTTTAATTATCTTCCGAATGCATTAATTAATCTGACAATCATTTTTTTTTTTGAATAATAGACAAACATCATATTTACATTTAGTGTTAGTTGAACCACTTGAAAGGTTCATATTACTTATGGTGATTGAAGAACTCGGGCTGTAGCCAGTCGCAAGTTTGTCAATAAATTTTAGGAACAAAAGAAAAAAGAAAAAAAAGAAGGAAAGCTAGCGCATTGAGTTTAAGGGTTGTTGGGGTCCAACTGTTCGTGGCTGACGTGTTATGGGGATCCCAATAAGGCCGACCTAATAAGTCAGCACTGTGTASTTAGAAAATGAACCAAATGCCAAATGTTCATTTGCTCGGAGTAGGGGAATGATCGGTTCGAAGCGTATACCAGTGGTTGCCCGGAGGAACTTGGCACAAGGAGGGAAGTACATGGATGAGACGGTTATTTGCCTCATTAACCACTATAAATACACCACCGCATCACGAGTCTAGGTATGAAAATTTGTCTGAAGCTGATATGTTAAACTCAGATCATCTATTGACTTGAACATCGGAGTAGTTTACCTCCTTGCAAGTATCATTTGGAATCCCTCTAAATATAGTTGACCGACCTCCTTGATTGTCTTCTACGGCATAAAATATTGAAATTTCCATGAAAACTCTACACAAAAGAAGAAACTTAAAATTAAACATAATTTAAAATACCAATGCAATATTGCCCTATTAAAATTTGGTTTAAAAACAGTATTTCTTAAAATGTTTAATTGAAAATGACTATCCTATATATGGATTGGTAAAATAATTAGTGGATCGATCTAAAACTTGATCCAATGAATCAAAGCTTGATATTTTATAGGCCAGGCCCATTGGGCTTAGTAATAAACGTGGTCTAGTTTAATATTTTTCTAAAATAATTTTAAAATAATTTTAAAATAATTTTAAAATAATTTTAATTTTTTTAATCTTCTAAAGGCAAAGATAAAATCAGTTGAATTATCCTTGACTACATTAATAATAGGTCGGTCCAACCTATATTCGAGTAACATTTTAATAAATCAATTGTACCTATACATCATTTATACTTTTATATAATACTTTTGTTTTGGGTAACTCCATCAAATTACAAGTTTAAATTTTGAATTTTGAATATTTGTCTTTAATAAATTTCTAAAAAGTATCATGTGTTAATAGATTTTTTTGAGACATGTGTCTAATAAATTATTAGGTGTGAAATATTAAATAAATCTCGTAAATCAGACAAAGAAAACATTGAAAAGTTGAAAAATATATATGGGATACTTTTAAAAACTTATAGACCTTTTAAACACAATAAAAAAGTTTGTGTAAATTGGATTTTGAATAGTTCACTTATTATTTTTTTCGAAGATATATATGCGTTATCCACTTGAAAGCATGCTTAAGTTTCTATTAGGTAGTTTTGAAAGTTCAAAAACGTTTTTCTCATTATTTTTCTTTTTTTTTAATTGAAAGACCAAATGTATCCTTTTAAATCAGATAATATTTTCCAACAACACAACTATTTTCATATTCAATTTCAACAACCTTATTAAATTATATAAAAAATATTATTAAATTGAAATTTGATTAAAAGGCATTTACAATGAAATCAAAGTTTTTTTCTAAAAAAAAAAAGTTCGGATTTTTTTTTCTTTGATGGAGATTGTCGAGAAAAAAAAAAAATCAATTTTGTCTTGGGCAAGCCGTAAGGAATGCAGTCACTAGCTGTAAAATTCAGCTAGTACAAAGCTCCCAAGGGCCTCCCCATCTCCCCCTCCTCTCTCTTTTGCAGGGTCACCGCCCCTTCAGAATTACCACCTCCACCCCAGCTTCACTGTAAGATTTCTCCATCTTTATATTGCCTTAAAGTTTCTCTCTTTCTCCTCCATCTCCACAGAGTCACACAGTGGCACCACTGAATCCTCTCTCTCTCTATCACAGTGCTTCATTTCTTTACAGGGTATTGATTGTAATCCCTGTTTTCATCTGGGTTCCTCTGATTTTTTCATTTTTTCGCTCATCGGGGGTTTTTTTCTTTCCCAATATGAATTTGGGTAATCATCAGTGTTCTGTTTTCTTGTTCGGGTGAATCTTGAATCCGTATGTTGTTGTTTTGATTCTGGGAACCCTAAGATTGTTGTTGGCTTGATTTTCCTTTCCTCTACTAGGTTTGATTTTCTGACACCTCACTCTTGTGTTGTTTTTTCTGGTCACGAAGATATACTGAATTAGTTTGGGGCTTGGATTGTGTCTCTTCTTTTTCCCCCATTTCTTGAGATGCTTGCTTTGGATTCAATAGCTGATCGTTTTGAATGGATGGTTAATACTGAAAAAAGTTTCTCACTTATAGTAAGTTTTCAAGTTGGATTAGCATTGGCGAACAGAACCCACAGGAGTAATAGATATACCAAAGAGGAGGAGTCTCAATTTTATTGGTTTATATGGAGGAGCCATATCGACTGTTTGGAAATTTAGATAGCATGTATTTTAGTCATCGGACTGGCATATCAAAGCTTGTGCACTTCTTTTCTTCGTAAAGTTTTATTGAGAAGTTAATTTTACGTTTTACAGCAAAAGCATGTTTCAGCGACAGTGATACTGAAGAAGAAAAAAAACAATTGCAATAAAGGTGCTAGTCACAAATTTTCGACCACGATGTATATGCTTCATGCTTATCTCTCAATAAGTTCAGCAAAATTTTGCTTATTTCGTTCCCCTCGTTGGGGATAACGATCAAGGTTTTAGTTACAATTTATCATGCCACCAGATTTCAAGCATTGCAACCCGTGGGTCTCAAACCCCAGCTTCTGACTCCGATATGGTGAGAGTATCTTACTCCTTTTCCTTTGATTTTCAGAGCATGGGAAGCAATTTTGTTGATGGAACCACCAGTTGTGGTGAGGCTGATGGATCTGAAGCCACTATTGAGATTAAGATAAAAACTTTAGATTCACAAACATATACTCTCAGAGTTGATAAACAGGTTAATATCTTCATTTTCTCTTAGATCATAAATTTTGCGCTACAGTTAACTTTCTGATCAATTGACCCAAGATAATGTTTAAGAATGTACTTATAATTTAAAAAATGTTACTGCTTCTTTCATCGAACATTTCAAGTTAACATGTTGAGTTGCAAGAAATCAGATAAGTTAAATGTGTACTTAAATATCATACAAGTTTTGAAGCTTCAATTAATTTTTGTAAACTTGTGCAGATGCCAGTCCCTGCATTGAAAGAACAAATTGCTTCTGTAACCGGCGTGTTATCAGAACAACAACGGCTTATATGTCGAGGAAAAGTTCTGAAGGACGATCAGCTATTGTCTGCCTACCGTATCCTCTATATGATTTTACCATATCTCTTTATTTTAAAAATATTTGATTTGTTTTCTTTGTGATATTAGGTGCTTTTTCATGTAGGATTTTGCCTGGGTTGTAAAATAATTTGCAATTCATCCCTTCATATATGCATATAGCCATATACACACACAGGTGCGTGCTCATGTTTACTGCAGACATGTAGAAATCCTTTTTACCTGACCTGTTTTTGTCTTGGTCTTCTTTTATGTTGACCTAAATGGAAGATAAGAATAGATCAATAAGCTAAATTGAAAAAAAAATATATATATCCGACTGGGGCATGTAACAAACAAGGAGGACGAAGGTTGCACTCTCAAGTCTCAATTCTTGGAATTGGTGATGGATACTCTCATCCAAAAAGAGTAAACTGAAAGGTTGCTATGGCTTTTCAATTATACGTTCAGTAAGAGATTTTCAAAAAATATGAGAGAGAGACAAGTTTGTGGCATCTAATTGGTGTATGTGGTTTTGGATTAATCTTCTTTTGATGGGTGGATTGCATACTGTACTGCAAATCATTCACTATTACGTATCTAGTGATCACTTGATCTTTCAGTTGGGAATATATGCTTAGGTATTCCTTAATCGTAGTTAGACGTTGAAGATGGTCACACATTGCATTTGGTTGTCAGGCAGCCTCTTCCACCATCAGAGGGTTTGCCAAATCGTCCAGGTTCAGTCTGCTTTTATGTATCTTTACTCTTTAATTAGCATTCCTTCGTAAACAGTAGTATACTTTATTGAATTTTTTATAAGCCTTATTATGATTGAAGAAGCTTTGTTGCATGCAAAATCTGCTACTCATTTATTTTAAAAGACCGAAGACAACCTTGAAGCATATACTTATGCACAACCGAATAATTCTTAAGTTGTGAGGCATTGTGAAGCAAAAGCCTCAAATTAATAACTAACATAATATAGACATGAACTACTGGCATTGTGATTATGGAAACGTTGAAATAATCTAATTTTCCGTCAATTTTTCACTTTCTTGTAACTTAAATTCAGCATTATCACTAATGGTAGAAATAAGATCAGGCAATTCATGTCAGGAAGCATTGTGGAAGCAAACGAGGAAGAAGTGTGGAACCTTTTAACACATAGGGAGGGACAGAGGGAGAGAGAGATTAAATATACATCACTGCCACGAAGAAGCATCATGGAAGAAAAAAAATGGTAGGAATTGGTGTAATAAGCAGAAGAGGCATCCTATGGTGGTTGTGTCTCTGAAGCAATGTGTACCTACCCAAGAGAATCAGAAGCACATTTTGTTCAATGTTGTTCCCCTCATACGACCAAAGACCCAGTAAAGCAGTAGCCATATGGACAGAATTTTAAGGTTGAGGCAATAATGTTGTAGACCAATGAAGTCAAAGCCATTCTTTGAAAATTTTTATTGGAAAGGAATCAAGGAAATTTCAATGGTGAATGTAGAGATTGGGGGGAAGTTTGGGCTATAGCTAAGTTTTCTGCTTCTACTTGGTATACCTTTTTGTAGGCTCCTAGGGTTGTATCCCCTGTATAAACACTTTTCATAGATTGCCAAAAAGTTCTTTTCTTGTTTTATGGTGAAGACCTGCAAACTTTAAATCGGAAAAAGAGGGTAGAAGGGAAGGTATGGAGCTGTTTATGTAGATAGCCCCTTATTCCCTATTGTACAGTGTTGCGCCACCATGAGGGTTTATACCCTATTGAATGTTAAAGTACAATAATAAACTTGTATAACCATTTCTTCAATTCTAATGATATTTGGCAATCATATTACATATTTCTGTAAAATAAAATCAGATGGAAGAAAGAAATTTCTTATTTTGCTTCACCATTTAGATAACTTAAAACTATGGTGCAAACTGACGCATCTACCATTTCTATATCAGCTAAACTTTTATTCCTGAAAGTTGTTTGCAGAGACTGATCCAAACTCAAGTACGAGTCGTGTTCATGGCAATCAGGTGGCTCCGGGTGTGGTGATTGAAACCTTTAGTATGCCCGTTCAAGGGGATGGTGTGCCTCCAGAAATCAACAGGGTCAGTCTATGACATGGATGATGACGAAGTTCTTTCAAGTTCTTGATGTAGTCTATTTTAGGCGTGTTACCAAAGACTTTATCTTTTTGCTGTGCACAGATTGTATCTGCTGTTCTCAGTTCAATTGGACTTTCAAATTCTGTAACCGGTGGTGAAGGGATGGATGTCAGGGTAAGCTTGCATTTTGAACTCTAGTTTCCCCAAGTGTGTTCATCCATCTTGTGCAATTGTATGTAAAATTATATCTTGCTCATTTGAGTGGTGATGGATGCTGAAGGAAATTGACCAGCAAAGAACTGGAGAACGTGTGATTGCAGCTGGGATGATAGATTTGAACCAGCATCAATCTGGAGACAACGGCTCAAGGCCACTATCTGATAGGTTTCATGGCACTTCTGGACATCCATCAATTCCTTCTCTAGGGTCGTTTCCTCCTCCTGTAAGTTAAGACTTGGGGACTCTTTAGATATTCAGATTCTTTTTCATCTTTGGTTTACTATATGTATTTTCAAAAGTCAATATATCCAGGATTCTTTGGTTAGTGCCAGTGCTTTATGTGATTATATTGATAAAATTCTTCTTATCAAGGTCTATCCTTGATTTACAAGTAAAAGGATGAATGATAGTACATTGGTTTGATGGATTTTTGCACTTCTATTAGCATTTTGACTTTTCAAAAACAGAACTAAACCTTTGCAAATAAGCATGTATAAGCTTCTGAATATTTTTCTTGGGCTCTTATTGTCCTTTAACTCTGCCCTCAATGAGGTGACTTTTCTGAAACGCATCTGGTTGAAATGAATGGTAGTGATTCTTGGTGTTTGCAGGTGATTCCCGATTCTTTGACAACTTTGTCTCACAACCTCAGTAATATGAGGCGTGATTTCGAAAATATTGGTAAGTTCTGTTCTGTTCGATAAGTTCTTTTTGTCATATGGCAAGTCTCCTATTGCGTGTAATTAATATTTGTTTATCATGAAATGGTTGGCAGGCAGAGCTGGTGGAAATAATGCTGAAGAAGCTAATATTCATGGAGATGAGGAAAGCAGCTCTAATTCCTCATCTCGTCCCAGCACCACCCAAGAAAGCTTCCCTACTCCTGCATCATTGGCTGAAGTCATGCTTTCTACTAGACAGATGCTTGCAGAAGAAGTCTCAGAGTGCCTACTTGTGCGTTCTAAACCATCTAGTTCTCACAATTAGTCTAAAATTTTAGCTTTTATGCTTTGTCAAGTGTCTGTGGTTTGGCTGTTAATTCAATCTGTAAACTCATTGGTGAATGCAAACATTCCAATATCACTCTTTGTTTTATTTTTCTTTAATGTAGTTAGGTACGAGATCATAGCTGCTTCTTCTGTTGATTAAGGAGAGAACGCAATTAATTTTTTTATGCTTATTTTCTGGTAGCAACTTGCAAGGCAACTGGAGAATCACAGGAATGTTACTGATCCTACGTTACGGATGAATACCCAGTCTTCTGCATGGAGAAGTGGAAATATATTTAATAACTTAGGTGCATATCTTCTAGAACTTGGTCGCACTATGATGACGTTGCGAATGGGTCAAACTCCGGTATGTCTTAATCCCTTTTCTTTCACCATTGCTTCCCTTTTAACTTAGATGGTTTTTGATTTCTTTCTTTGTTATTTTCATTTTCTGGATGGTAACATAACCTTTTGTCCATATATTTCAATTTGATGTACAATGTGCAGTCAGAAGCTGTTGTTAATGCAGGACCTGCAGTTTTCATTTCCCAAACTGGTCCTAACCCCATCATGGTTCAGGTAATATTTTCACACCTTGCTTGAATTTGTTTATTTTTCAGGTTTGAGGTCATCATATCTTCTTCTGCTAATTATAATTCTATAAACAGCCTCTTCCTTTTCAACAAAATGCGAGCTTAGGTGCGGTTCCCATGGGTGCCATGCAGCCTGGCTCTGCACTAATTCATGGTCTTGGTTCTGGATTTCTTCCAAGGCGTATTGACATACAAATACGAAGAGGTAACCTGCAAACTTGACTTTTCCTTAGCTATTCATCTTTTGTTGGACATATAGAGTAATCATAGTTCCTTTCACTAATTTCAAGGTTCATCGACTGCGGCACCAAATGGCAATCCAGAGGAACGCAGTGGAACTCAGCAGCCTTCAGGGCAACAAGAAGCGGGCAGAGGGGTGGGCGAAAATACCACCAATCAAGCAGCCACTAGGACTGTAGAGGGCCCAACTATGGGCGGAGAATCTGGAGTGCGAGTAGTGCCAATTAGGACTATGGTTGCTGCAGCTTTACCCGGACCTTTTAGCCGCTTACCTTCAAATTCTTCTGGTAATTCAATTGGGTTATACTATCCTGTTCTTGGAAGATTTCCTCACCCTGCTTCAGGAAATGCAAGGGCTGAGCGTGGAAGTCAGGCTTCATCAGAGCGTCAATCTACTGGCCTTCACAGTGAGCAGCACTCAATTCTTGAATCTGTTGTGGAACAGCAAAATGTAGAAGATGCTGCAAGAGATGGTAACTCTGTTATTATGACGCTTACCTTCAAATTCTTCTAGTTATTCTCCTCATAATGTTCCATTTCCGTTTCTGCTAATTAACTAAATTGTGGTCGGTTAGGATATTTTGGCTTTAGAATTGGAACTGCATTATCTTTCAGGGTCATGACCTCACGTTTCAAGGCAGTAGGTGCTGCTGCTATCCAACTCACATTGTATTGACTTATTGACATGTTTTCTACAGGTGGACCTCAAAGTAACCTTGAATCTGAACGACAAGTTCCCAGCAACGTCGTCCAGTTTCTTCGGACTCTCTTTCCTGGTGGTGAAATCAACATTGAAGATGCCAGTTTCCAAGAAATTAGTGGTTCTGTTCCTGCGGTGGCGTCAAGTTCTGTTTCAAACGTACAAGAATCAGAACCAAGAACTACGGATGAAGGAATGTTTTTGTCCAACATATTTCATCAAATCATGCCATTCACATCTCAACGAGGCAACGAGTCAGATGTGCCTTCAGTAGAGCCCAATGCCTCTGAGCGTCGAAACGTCTCCGGTTCTTCCATGCAAGTAAGAAATTCCAATGACCACCTGTTGTGCATTTCATTGCCCTGATCATTTCGAAAGCCGGGGATTTGTCTGTTGCAAATGATGATTACATACCGACTTGAAAACGATATATAGTTGAATTTCCATTCTGTAACTTAATATTTGAAAAAAATAAGTAAATAAATAAAGATCTAAAAAGTGGGTTTGTCAGGGTTCAAATGGGGATGCTGAGACGTCACGCAGACGCACCGATGGCGAAGCAGATGCTCCAAGTTCGAAACGTCAAAAGGTGCTCTTCCTGTGAAATCATTGATTTATTTATCCCTTTTTATCATTCTACCCATGCATATTCATTTACTCTGGGGTTGGTATTATAATGCCTGTTTATGTCTACTTGTACTTACAACGGAAGAATGAATAAATGGGTACATCAAAAGTGGGGCTTTTATATTGTGTTCTGGCCCTTTTGGTATACTCAGATACCTTATGGAAAATTGTTTTTATTTTTGGGTTTTATTTTTTTGCTTTGGTTTGTAATCTTTTGCAAATGTTTCTAAAATCCTACCCAAATTTTAAAAGTTAGAAAAAGTAGTGTGCAGGCCCATTTGATACCATTTTGTTTTGGATTTTCGGTCTTGGTGTGTGCTCATTCTATAGTATATTTTCACCTTTCTTCGTAGCTAAATTTCAATAACAAAAACCAAAATTTCGAAACTACTTTTTTATTTTAGTTTTTAAAATTTAGTTTAGATGTTGGGAACGTTTTTAAAACAAATAAATACATAGGTGAAAGTAGTGTTTACACGTTTAATTTCAAAACTATATTTTCTGGTTTCTAAGCAAAGTTGTCTTTGTTTTACGTTTTTCTAATGCAGAAAGATTGATACAGCACAAGGTGACCAGAGATTATGGGATCTTAATCTGAAATTGCACCTTCAAACTTCTGGGAAAATCATCACGAAACACAATCAACAGTGGAATCACTTTACAAGTTGCAAGGAGCATCACAGCCCTCTGCTCTAGTTAAGCGTA